CCGGGGCCTCGAGTTAAATGCCACACTGAGGTCCAGTCGCTCCTCCTCCTCCTCCTCCCTCTCCTCCTCCTTCGTCCTCCTCCTTGCCCCTCCCCTCGCCTCCTCCTCCTCCAACTCGTCCCACTCTTCCTTCTCCTTCTCCTCCTCCTGCTCCTCATCCACCCCCCCGCTTTGCAGTCCGCAGGTCGCTGAGGCGCTCGCGTTGTCCAAGATCGTGCAGGTCGAGAGGCCGCCCATGCAGGAAGTCGAGGTCATGATCGACATTGACCCGCCGGTGGACCCACTGGCCATGCCCCAGTCCTCCAGGTTCAATCCTGACATGATGGCCGAGACCCCCCCATGCGGCGGTCGAGGACGAGCTGCTCTGGAGGGCGATCGCACTGGAGGGCGCGACGCTCGTGAGGGACATGCTGCGGATGGCCAGTTGCAGGGCGGTGTCGATGCCAGTGACCACAGCCAGATTGTTGTTGCAGGGGGCCCTCTCGAGACGCCCAAGCGCCCGCCTCGGGTGGCTTCGACGCCGCCAGTGCCTGTGAAGCGCCCGCCGCGAGAGACTCAGTTCGCTGCTGATCTGGAGGGTTGCGACGGTGACTTGGAAGATGCACTTGCGGCTCTCATCGGAGACGTACCTCAGGATCGCGAGGGGGGCGCCGTGGATCCAGACGGCAGCGCCTTCGCGGGGCTCATCGTGGTTCGCGAGCCAAGCGAGCAGGAGGCGTCCATGGGCTTCGGTGACATCGACGCGCTGTCCATGCTGAAGACGTTCAACGAAGCTGCTGCTGGCCAGGACACGGCTACAGGAAGGGCCAGAAGGGGGAGGGGGCACGGGGGGGGGGCAGGGGGGGGGACGAGGTGCGGGGGAGGAGGAAACGTGGGGGGGAGTGTGAGGACAAGCGGAAGGGAAGGTGGAAGGGAGGCGTAATTGGGGTGGAACGGGGGGCAGCGGGATGGGGGAGGGGGGGCAGGCGGTGAGAGGAAGGGGGAGGGCGGGGGGGGGGGGTGACGAGGGGGGTGGGTGGGGGTGGTGGGGGGGGGGGGGGAAAGGGAGGGGCAGGGGGGTGGAGGGTGGGGGGGGGGGGGGGGGGAGTGGCGGGAGATGGGGCAGGGCAGCTGGTATTATTTGTTGTTCGGCCCGGGGGTATTTTTGAGAATTTTTTAACGCGCCGAATTGTTGGCCCCGGGGAGCCGACCCCCCGGGGGGGGGGGCCCGGGGGCCGCCAAAAATTATGCGCGAAAACCTTGTAAAAAAATTCCTCGCTCGAGACATCCTCGCATTCCGATGCGCGAAAATTGCCTACCAAAAATTCACCGATTTTTTGTTCCCGGGGGGTCCCCGGGGGGTCGGCCCCCCGGGGCCAAAAAATAAGCGCGTTAAAAAATTGCCAAAAAATACCCTCCGCGGGCGAGCAAATAAATGCGACCACCCGCGGTGGTCCCCCCTGGGCCGCCACCTGGGCCCCCTGGACTAAGCTTGCCAAGAGGCAGGAGGCGTGGCTTCGCATAGCGAGGGGGGGGGGGTGGAGAGGAGTCTCGGCTTTGTGGCCCCCCCTGGCCCTGGGAGGACGTCGAGGCCGAGCAGGTGGGGGGTGCCGCGACGCCCCAGCCTCGGGAGCGCGACTCTGACGCGGCTGATCCTGGTCATTGGGCTATGATGCAGACTGTCAAGTGCTTGCACGGTTGCGTAGATGGTCTATCGACCGTTTGGTTGCACAACGCGCTCACCTTGCATGGGAACGGCCGCGGTCCGCTGCGCATCGCCACGGGTTTCAGCGGCTGCAACATCATCGAGCACGCTTGCCGTCACCTGGAGGACGGCGCGAGCCAATTACGGGGGGGGGGGAGGGGGCTCCGATGGGGGGATGGACAGGAAGATTGGGCAGAAGCAAACGGCAGAAGGAGGATGAGGAGTCGGCGGGAGATTAGGAGGAGGGGGAGTGGCATGGGGTCAGGAGAGGACGAGTGAGGTTGAGCAGAGGGGCCGCTGATTTTGCGATCCGACAGGAGTTCTGGGAGAACAAGTACGGGTACAACGACTGCCTGGAATTCGTGTTCCACTGTGAGTCCGATAGGGAGACTTGCATCTTCCTGCAGCAGGAGTGGTCTGCCCCCATGATATTCAAAGACATGAAGGATTCCAATGGGTAACGGAATATGTGTTTGGGCCAGTTGAGGTCAGTGTCCCTCACCTCCGCCTTCCTCTCGTGCTCCGCCTCTTCTTGCTTTTCCTCTCCTCTCCTCATCCCCCTGCCTGGACATCCGTGGGGAGATGTTGTGTGGGGCCCTCTCAAAAACACTTGCTGACCAGCTTTACCGGGCAGTCTTGGGGCCTTCTTGGGGCCCTCCCGGCCCTCCCTAAGCCAGTCTCGGTGCCCTCTCGAAGCCTCGCGGCGCTTCTCGGGGCAGCTCTTGGGCAGCCATGGGCCATGGGCCATGGGGCGTGTTTTGGGGGGGCCTCTCACTCTTCTTTCTTCTCCTCCTCCTCCTCCTCATCATCATCATCCTCGTCCTTCTTTTTCTTCTCTCCTCCTGCTCCTCCTCCCCCTCCTCCCCCTCGCCCGTTTTTCTGTTTCGCCCCAAGGTGGGGATTTCGGGATCCCCGCTCTCCAGCGCATCAGAATTTAGGGGTCGCATTGGAGCCGCCATCCTCTGGAGACTTCTGGTCGTCCTCTCACCTGGGCTGCGGGCAGACAGACTAGAGGGCCGCGGGGGGGGCATCAGGACGACGCTCTCATCATTTCTACTTCGCGCGACAATTCGCGGTGGAGAGCGCTCGTGGTCCCAGGGCCGCTAGGCTGATTTCAGATAGCCGGGGGTGGGGGAGGGGGGTGAGGTGGAGGGCCAGGTCGGCGAGGGGGAAGCGGCGATGGTCGAGGACTAGGAGTAGGGGCAGGAGGAGGAGGAGGAGGAGGAGGAGGAGGAGGAGGCTGGAGTGGTTGAAGATGAAGGTGAGGTTCTCACGCGGTAGTTTAAGTAAGTGACGCACCCTCCCGACATGGAATCCCGAAATCCCCGCGCCCACCTCCCCTGGCACACGACCCACCCCCCCTGGGGATTGGGCGCGCAGCAGCGGGGGAGCTGGTGATTTCCCGTTATCAGTCAGGCTCAGGAGTCTGAAAGATCCCACACCTTTCAAGTGACCTTTTAGATTTCAGTTCCAGAATCTGATACCTCCTGGCAGCCATGTCCTCAGAAATGAGTGAACGGCACGCCGATGGCCGCTCGTGTCGACTGTGTCAGCGCTGCGACAAGGTCGCCGACCACGTCATCCCAACCATGACCTTGGCATGGGGAGCGCCGGAGAAGGACGCCTGGGCAATCCTTCGCCGTGTGCGTTTGGGCTGGTCGGCCTCGCCTCTCTCGTCTCGGCGACGCGGCATTTCGAGCGCGTGGTCGAGGCCGGGGGGGGGCGAATACACGATCAGGCCGAACGCATTCAGACACCTCTTGCCCCCCCCCCCCCCCCAAGAAGGACGGCAAACCCCAGGGACGCTTGTGCTTCTATTGTTTCCGAACCTACGAAGCCAACTTCCAGGGCAAGGACGGTTTCAAGTCGGTCGTGCAGCTCGAGAAGAAGATGGGCGTGGACTCGGAGTTGAACGCGAAGTTCATGCACCTTCGCGCTTCGTGCGTGGATAGTCAATCGGCTGACGCCTCTCCGCCATCAGCGCATCCATGCCCTGACCTTGGCACGCCCCCTCTCCTCGTTCACCACTCCTCACCAGCCATCTTATTGCCCTCCTGCTTCCGGTCCTCTTGTCTCCGACATCGCGATCCTCCTCCGCCATGTCGCCCCCGGCCCTCGTCCGTCTGTGTCGCGCAGGACCGTGGCCGAATGGCGCGCTGGCAGAGCCTGCAGGGCGTCGGATCTGCGTGAAACGTGGCACGACGACTGGCGTCGTCATCGACTGGAGGGGTCTCCGGAGCAGGTTCGAAACCTACAGTAAGACGGAGGTTGAGACCACAGAGGGCACGACCACCATCGTGCCGCTAGCCGATTATCATCGGCGTTTCGGTAAACCAGAGGTGAATGGCCACAAGGATACTCGCGTGTAAACCAGCTCCCCCGCTCGTGGTCTCGCCCCCCCACCCCCCCCCTTCTGCGCGGGGGGGGGGAGCGGCGGGGGGGGAGGGCGAGAAGGGGGAGGCAGGCAGTAGGGTTGGAGTGGCCTATAGGAGGGGATCAGGAGAGGGCGGAGGGGGGGGAACAGGAGGAGGAGGAGGAGGAGGAGGGCAAGAAGTGAGGCGAAGTGGAGGAGCACCCGAGGAAGTCTTTTTCAAAGGCGAGCAGTGCGTCGCCATCCCGCCGGAGCGCGAGTGGAAGATCACGCCGAAGACGACGGAGGCTTTCCCCTCTCATCTCCTTCTCGTTTCCAGTCGTCGTCGCGCCGGTGCAGCTGCTGCTGCTGCCTCTAGCGTGCCAGGGCGCGTCGCTGACCAACCTGGAACGCACGCAGAGCGAGGCCGTCAGCGAGCATGAGTTGGCCAACATGTTCGCAGATTTCGGCGCTCGGATCTTCGGTGAGCTGCCGACGACCGTCGGGGCGAGCATGGAGACCTTGATGCTCGCGAGGTCCTCGGGGTCGAGCGCGGTCTGCTCAAAGGGCTGCCCTGAGCCGTCGCAGAACCAGCAAGCTCAGGGATCTGACGGGGCTGCTGAGGAAGGGCAGGACGAGGATGACGCGCTTCACGGTCAAGGTAGTTTCACTGCGCGCAGGGGCTTGTCGCCCTTGTTCGCGGCTGTCCAGGTGACGTCGAAAGAGGCAGAGTCCGCCGAGCCAACGCAGTCTCAGGAGGGCAAGAAAGGCAGGGCTGGTCGGGCCCAGAACCGCGGGAAGGCTGCGGTCGGCGGCGGAGGCGGCGGCGGTGGCGGTGGCGGAGGCGGCGGCGGGGGCGGAGGTGGAGCCGGCGGCGGTGGCGGAGGCGGATGCGTAGGCGGCGGCGGTGGCGGAGGCGGAGGCGGCCCCGGGCGCCCATACGTCCCTCGCCTCGCGACGGCGAAGAAGTTCTTGCGTGACATCATTGAGAGCGGCCCGAATGACAAGATCTTCGGCGACGTGGCTAACTGGAGGCGCCTCCTTGAGAGGTGCATCAAAGATTATGTCGGCGTCATTCGAACTCCCGAGAACCCGCTCCCCGAGGATGCCAGAGAAGCCTACGACGACACGCCAGAATATTTGATTATCCGGAAGCAGTTGACGGCCTCATTGGACATAGCTCGGGCTTGGGTCAAGGCGAACAGATCGTGGGACGCTTCCTTCATATCGCAGTACAAGTCGACCCTGGTGTTCCTCCAGTCAGATCCTGTCGCGCCCAACCCGCTGCCATCCTGGATGAGGCAGCGCTACTTGACGGTCATGGTCCAGGAGGCCAGCACAGCCAGCATGATTTGGCCTCTCCTTGCGCCCGAGGCTTTGGAGTCAATTGGGTACGTCGGTTGTGATCGCCAGCGCAAGGTGACTCTGGACATGGTGAAGATGAAGGTTTTGCAGCTCACAGGCGACGATTCCCCAGATACCTGGATGGACACGCTGATGGACTTCATGGGGACCTTCCCTGGAAACGCTGGTGATGACCTCGTGAACGATGCTGCCCTCATGAAGGCAGGTCTGGGCATCCTGAAGAGTGGCGTTGCTTCCGACGAGTCGCTCAAGGACGCGCAAGTTCTGCTCAAGAAGGTCGCCGACATGACAGAGAAACCCGACTTGGACAGCATGCTTTCAGCGGTCAGCACGCATGCCAAGGGCAAGGATCCCCTCCTTCTCGTGCTCCTCGCCCTCCTCCTCGTCCTCCTCCTCCTCCTTCTCGTCCTCCTCCTCCTCGTCCTCCTCGTCCTCCTCCTCCTCGTCCTCCTCCTCCTCGTCCTCCTCCTCCTCGTCCTCCTCCTGCTCGTCCTCCTCCTGCTCGTATGTCTGATTTGCGGGGGGCGCGGTGCGAGTGGGGACTGCCCGGCGTTGCGCCGTTAGTGACCCTCGCACCGTTGCTCCCCGCATGTCTGCTTTTGTTTTTGCGCCCAGGCTAGACCTGGTCTCCGCGCGCCTCGTCAGTCAGTCAGTCCTCCTCGTCCTCCTCCTCCTCGCCCTCCTCCTCGTTCTCCTTCTCGTCCTCCTCCTTCTCTTCGTTCTCCTCCTCGTCCTCCTCCTCCTCGTCCTCGTCCTCCTCGTCGTTTCCTCCTAGCTCGTCCTCCTCGCCATCCCTTCGTCAGGGGCCATGGCCCTTCTAGCCGCGGGCCTCGTCTTGCTGGACGTCTCCCCCACTCCTCGCAGAGGCGGAGTGCGAGGAGGGGGGGGGGGGGGGGCAAGAGGTGGAGGAGATGGAGGACGAGATGAGGAGGAGGAGGAGGAGGAGGAGGAGGAGGAGGAGGAGGAGGAGATGGAGGAGGAGGAGGAGATGGAAGAGGAGGAGGAGGAGGAGATGGAGGAGAAGGGACAGGGCCGAGTTTGCTCGTGGTTTCGGACCCCAAGGCGTCAACCGCTTCGCGGTGGCAAAAACCATAGGAAAGGTCCGGGTACAAGGGTCAGGTAGAGGATGGCCCCGCGCAGGGCTTCTTCAAGGATCTGCAGAAGACGGTCTCGACGATCGTCGACGGCACCGAGGCTTGCCATGGCATTCTCGGGATCATGCGCAAGATTGAGTTCGACATGGACATGCGCCCAGGCATCTGCGACTTCGTCGACAGCCTCGTGGACCTCGAGGAGTCGCTTGAGGACCTGACGCCGTGGAGCACCGCGGAGCTTGAGAGGACCCGCCTGATTCTGACTCGTGACAGCCTCATTGCGCAGGCCGCCAGCATGGCCGTGAAAGGGTGGGTTCAGTCGATGCAAGCTTTTGGCGATGCGAAGGTGGCGGTCGCCGAGGCAGCGACCATGGCTGAGGGCGATGAGGATGGTGACTGCAGTGCCGCTCAGGCCCCCATGGTGAAGATTGCCCATGATCTGGCGGGGCGGACCGCGCTACTTCTGGACACCATTGACGTGGCCATCGTCCGGCGTCCTCTGGATGAGCTGTCGTGCATCAGCCAGGGCAGCATCAGGGTGCTCAAAAGCAGTTTGGATAGTGCCCCAGAGATCTACTTCCCGGCGGACCTGCTGACCTTGCAGCAAGCGCAGACGCTTGTCCGAACGACTACGTCGGATCTCATCCCAGACCCTGTGTCGGCCATATTCCAGGAGGCGGGCGTGGACGTCGAGAAGTACAGGCAGGCCAGCGCCTCGCTCCAGGGGTCGACTCGCATTTCCGAGGCCAAGGATCTGATCGTCGCCAAGTTTCGCGAGCAAGCTGGGGCCTTCCAGGAGATCGCTAGCTCGATGTTCGACCAGGTGCTGTCCGATGACCAGGCCTACACGAAGGCTGGGGGTGGGTGGAGCGGCGGAGGATGTTGAGGGGAAGGGAAGGAGGATGATGAGGAGGAGGCGGAGGATGCGGAGGAGGACGACGAGGAGTAGGAGGAGGACGAGGAGGAGGAGGAGGACGAGGAGGAGGAGGAGGAGGAGGAGGAGGAGGAGGAGGATAAGACAGAGCAGGAGGAGGAGGAGGAGGAGGCGGAGGAGGAGGAGAGCGAAGAGGAGGAGGAGGGGGAGGAGGAAGAGGAGGGGGATTCCAGTGGCCCCTGCGCTGCAGGGGCTTCCAGTGGCCCCTGAACTGAGGGCATAGAACACGAGGGGGAGGGAGATGGATCGGAAGAGCAGGAAGAGGATGAGGAGGCAGAGTGAACTGGTGGCGCTCAATGAATGAGTTGGATCTCGCCTCAGGCGTTCAGCGAGTTCATGGTCGCCAACCTCGTGAATGACAACTGGGACCCCAAGGAGCACGTCCTCGAAGCGATGACGAGTGCGCGCAATCTCATCAGGTCCATTCCAGCCGACGCCGTCGCTTGCCACAGGATCGATTTGGCCCTTCGCCTCGTCGCGTTGGGCGCGTGCATGGCCCCGCTATGCCACAAGATGGAGGGGCCTGCTGGCGCGGCCGCGGCGGCCATTGGCAAGGGCGGCCCCACGAAAGACGATGTCATGATTTTGGACGACTGCCAGCAGGGTCGAGAGGACCGACTCGCATCATCCTTGGTCTTTGTCCTCGGAAGCCCCGGGGCCCAGGAGGAGGAGGATGAGGGCGACGACGATGGCGACGACGACGAGGGGGGGAGAGGAGGAGAGGAAGGAGCAAGAACTGCAGGAAAAAGAGGGGGAGGAGGAGGATTTGGAGGAGGAGGAGGAGGAGGAGGAGGAGCCTCCGCCGCCGCCTCCTCTCCTCCCTGTTCCTCCTTGCGGCGCGAGGACATTGGCACCTTCGTTGCCCAGCTCTTTGATGCGCTGCAGCGCGAGAACGGCATGAATCTGAAGAAGACGCCCGGGGAGGAGCATTTCGAGGAGAACTTCAAAGTGGCCTTGGATCTCTGCCGCGCCCAGGACGTGCTCTTGGTCCGCGTCTTCGAGCATTGCAACCTTCCGAAGCTCGTCGAGAAGATGGTTCACCAGTCTCGTGCCCTGGTGAATGTCGTCAAGCAAACTTGGGAGAAATCCATGGCCGATGCGGCGGCTGCCATCAAGAACGCCTGTCCCGAATGGGAGCACGACATCCCTGGCTTGGTCATCACCCCCCCTCGCCCAGTGGTCAACAAGCTGATCTTGAACGAGGCCTACAAGCAGCTGCCGGCCCTCAGCCAGAGCTTGCAGGAGCAGGTCAACGCGGTCAAGCTGGATGGGAAGAGCGTGATCTTCCCCGATGACCTGGTGAAGCAGTGGGAGGCCGTCATCGCCCAAGCAACGATCGTCATCAGCTTGACGTTTGCGTTGTTCCACCTCCACCATGCGTTCCCAAAGGAGAAGGGCCCCAAGAACCTTTCGGTCGCCGCCGACGGCCTGAAATCCCAATTGGTCACTAAGAAAACGTGGAGCAAGCTGCCTGACAACGTCCGGGCAGCCATCCAGGAGAAAATCTTGGATGAGCAAGGTCGCCCACCAGCCTGAGGCGGTCGCCCAGGCGGGCGCGCGGACTCTCATGGAGGAGGAGGAGGAGGAGGAGAAGGACGGGGAAAAGGGGGAGGATGAAGAAGACATGCAGGAGCAAAAGCTGGGGCATAATAGTGAAACGGAGGACTATACGATGTAGGAGAGTGAGGAAACGAAGGGGGAGAAGGAGGCACTTCAGTTTGACTTTTTGGCCAGAGCTTTCACTCTTGACGACGCCTTGAGAACAGCAGTATCTCGCTGCTGGTGTCGGTGTCTGGTGATTTTTTGTTACACGTGGGCCCATGCCCTGGCAGTCGGACAGGTCGAGGCCGTCCGGGTCCGCAGGTAGTTTTTTGGAGCTGGGTCCGCACGTCGCTGACTCAGCTAGCTGCAGGGCGCTCGTGGGATCTAGGGTGCCCGTCGGTTGCGCGAACTTTCCCATTGAAAATGCAGAAAGACGCGTGTGATGGTGAGGTTGAAGTCGTCTAGTTCGAAGCCCAGGGCATATGATTGCGCGTGATCCTCAGGACTTCTGGGCTTTCCGGGAGCGTACCTTCTGGACTTTCTCCGGCGGCATTCCTCGGGGCCGATGGGGGCGTACGAAGGGGTCCAGGGCCGGGGGCGTCTCAGGAAGCAGAGGCACGACGGGGCCAGGGGCTTCTCAGGAAGGGGCCCTGGGCCAGGGGCGTCTCAGGATGGGGCCCGGGGCCAGGGGCGTCTCAGGAAGGGGCCCAGGGCCAGGGGCGTCTCAGGAGGGCAGGGGGGGAGGCAGACGAGGGGTTGCGGCTTGGCCAGCCACAGGACCTCTGCAATGACTCCGCCGAGATCTTCACAGAGGACGGCTCCTACAAGGCCGCCCAAGTCCCGGGCGACATCGACATGTTCGTTGCTGGGTTTGTCTGTAAGGATCCATCTTCACCTTCCTTTCCGTGGGTCCCCTTCTGGTTTACTCCCTACCTGGACTCTGTCTAGAAGGTCTCTTCCTGCGTGGGCTTAAAGGGCCGGGCAGCGGGGCTCGCCCCAGGCGGTTCCTCCGGCATCCGCCCCGCGGTTCCCCCAGTTACGCCCCCCTTAGCTTATCGTCTCTTATCTCATCCTATCTTAGCTTAAGTCAACTTAGCTTAGCTTAGCTTCATTTAAGCTCAGGTTTATCTTAGCTTAGCTTACCTTCATCTTAGCGCCGCTGAGCTTTAGCATAGCAGAGCACAGCAGAGCATAGCAAATCATAGCGTAGCATACCGCAGCATTGCATAGCATAACCCAGCATAGCATAGCATGGCGCAGCATATCATAGCATAGCGTAGCATAGCACAGCGCAGCACAGCACATCATAGCACAGCACAGCGCAGCACAGCATAGCATGGCATAGCAGAACAGAGCAGAGCATAGCATAGCGCAGCATAGCATAGCATAGCATAGCATAGCAGGTAGGGTCGCACTGGGGTAATGCACTGTCTCCTCTGCGTAGGATCGGAGCCCATTGTCGTCCAAGCGCAAGGCCAGCGTGAACTGCTGCCAGAGTGGCACTGGGACTACAGGAGAGACTTGGGATCATATTGAGAAGTACGTCCAACGCCACAAGCCGAAGTGCGTCCTCATTGAGAACGTCACAGGTCTGATGCAACGCGTTCGAGACGAGCCCACGGACTTAGAACACATAAGCCGCTCGCTAACGTCCATGGGCTACACTGTGCGTCACTGCGTGCTCGAGGCCGCCGACTTTGGGAGTC